ATCAATTCTTCTCCTTTGCCCTTCCAATGTGTTATCTATTTCTGACAATTTAGTATTAATCTTTTGGATTTCTATCTGTTGATTTAGAATCTTTTCTAATTTTTCATTTTCACGTACAATATTTTTCAGATTCATCTGTATTGTTTAATGTTTCAGTAGTTCATTTCTTTTCGTTCCTGAATAGTATCCATTGTATCAATATTCCATAGTTTATCCATTCCCGTATGGATTGATACCTGGAATGTTACCAGTTCAGGGCTATTATGAATAAGGCTGGTATGAGAAGACTTACACAGGTCGTCTTGTTTACATAAGCTTTCTTTGAGTGTATAAATACCTAGTAATCGAAGAACTGGGTAACAGAGTAGGTGTATGTTTAGTTTTGTAAGGGACTGACAGATATTTTGTGAGAAACTATCAGACATTTTTGCAAAGTGTTTGTACCAATTTACACTCCAATGAAAATGTGTGAGAGTTTCAACCATCCACACCAACACCTGACATTGTCAGTCTTTTTAGTATTAGCCATTCTGATGAATGTGTAATCATATCTTAATATGCATATCTAATGATTAGTAATGTTGAGCATCTTTTCATGTGTTTCTCAGTCACTAGTATATCTTCATTTGTGAAGTGTCTGTTCAAATCTTTTGCCCATTTTAAAAGATGAATATTTCTTTTATTGGTGAATTGAAAGAGTTCTTTTTTTCAGTCCTTTGTCGAATGTGTTTTGTGAATATTTCCTCTCAGTTTGTGGCTGGCCCACCACTTTATTTTATTTTATTTTTTAAAAATTTTTTAAAACCACAAGTTCTATCATCTCTCCCATTTCTCTCCTTTCTATTCTGTATGTCTCTTATTGCCCATCTTTTACTTCCACAATTCTCTCTGACCCAAGAGATCACAGCTTTCCACACCTTATTCTAACATGTTGGAATTCCTAGCATAGCTGAAATTCTATCTAAATGTAAAAACCCATTGTAGCTGCCACCAGTGCATGAATTTACATTGTCCCAGAGAGAGTTATCAGTTTATAAGTAAAGTAATAATCTATATTGATAACTTTGCTTACACAGGTGTTTGATTTAACTGTTTTCTCTGTTATGTCAAAGCAGTGATATTGATAAAATATTTGAGCCCAAAATATTATTATTCTTCAGGCCCACGTCAACAGTTGATTGAGGTGAAAT